GCCTTGCTGGTTGGCTCTGAACAGACAGGCTTTCAGCAAACACACTGGTCCTTTTCGCCTCCTGCCAAAAAGGCCAGCAGCCAAGATGTACATGTCAGCTTTCTGGAGCTCGCAAGCTTTAGGAAACAGGGATTGAGATTCAGTAATCATGTTTTAAGCGTGGAGGGGCCACCCCTGCAGTGGGAGCACCAGCAGCAGGTCTGTGCAGTTTAAAGCCACTCAGCTGAGGAGCAACCAAGGACTCACCGGTCCTCAAACTCTGTCCTTGCCCAGTGAGACCCTCACAGGTGTGTCCTGCCTCCACGGTTGGAGAATTAAATCAACACAGATCCGCGCATTAGCTAAAGATCTTCTGGGAACTGTTTTCACCACACTTTGAGGTACCGTCTGCCAGAACAGCCCTTGGGCTGAGGAAGAGGCAGGGAGGATGGTGGCCACTCAATGCGACTGCCAGAAACACCAACGTATCAGTCTGTCCCCCAAAATGTCATGGCACACGTGGGTGATACCAGAAGTGCTGGGCCATGGCCACTTGTCCCTAGGGGTTGTAGTGACTCTGTACAAGCCCTCTCCTTACTCTGATTGTGACTCTGATACTTGTCCTCTTTCTCCACATGTCTTGGCAGTAAGATTTGACCAGAATCCTAAAAAACAGGAGGCTACCATCTTCCTTCTCCCCTTGCACCTCCTCCTCCACTATCAGCTGCTCCCTCCCTTAATGTTAACGCCAAAAAATAAGAGTAGAGCTGCGGGAAAGGAAAACTGATCTTTTTGAGAGTGGAGGGGGAAAGTCTGCATTGCGCAGTGGCTGAGCCAGAGTGGAGTATTCAGGAGCCACCGAGGGACACCTGCAGCTAAACCCCGGGCACGAGGCCTCCCTCTGGTTATGTCAGCCCGTATCCATGACGTTGTATAATCATGTACACGGCTGGTTCCATAAATAGCTCCTCCAAGCAGCAACACCCGAATATCCTTCCTGCCTGGGTCGCTAATAGGAGCTCCGGGCAGGAAATAATGCAAGGCAATACGATTTAAGCAACGTGGCCTCGCTCATGCTGCCCGGGCGTCTCTGACGATCACCAAGCGCAGAGGAGAGGCAGGTCAGTGGCAAAGGGAAAAAAAAACAAACCACCTTCAGCCTGCAGGTTTTGCAACCCTCACGCTGAAAGCTACACGGGGCTACGTGCATAGGGCTCGGTAGGACGCTGGAAACAGATGTTGCTGCAACATTAGAGGAAATCCTCCTTTTAAACAAGGGTATTAGCACGCAGTTCTGTATCACGCTTTGCCAGCAAATTCCTCCCATCCACACATTTTAAAGGCACAGTGCCTGCAAAGCACCGTTCTAGAAATCCTGGTGTTTATCCAACAACTTACCCCAACACTCAATTTACCGGCCCAAGGAAAAGACGCAAACGGACTACACACATTCTGTCAAAGCCCTGAGATTCACCCCTGGTGCCACCCCGTGTTTCTGGGTGAGGCAGGAATAATTCATCAGCCTCCAGATCGCTGCCCTTCCTCTCCAAGCCGAGTCATGGGGAAACAGAGGGAAACAAGCCAGCTTTGCCTTCGTTCCCTTTCTTTTGTGCACAGCAAGTCTCAGATACCCCATGTTCCCCTCTCAAGTCCATTTTCCACAGGAGGATTTCTTTGAGAGCCGAGAAGGTCGGCCCTCAGAGTTCAGCACAATGTGACCTAAAGCAGACCTGTTTTTCTTTTGAGCACCTTGATCAAATATTAGCCAAAACCAAGCAAAATAAAGCTTTAAGAAGACGGAACAAAAGTCTAAACAGTGTCTCCACTCATCATGTGATATCTATTTATTTTTCAAGCATTTACAGCATCTTGCAGGGAATGAGGTATTATGTAAATAGGCAGCAAGCACATCACCTCTTTTCTGTGTTTGTTTCTTTTTAAACATTCATGTATTTTATAACTGGGAACATCACGGAAAGGGTTCTCTTTTGAAGCCTCTTTTGAAAATCGGTAAGCGAGGGACTACGGATTTTGGGAACTGCCTAGAGATATAACACAACCACATTAATTTCCTCCTTTCCTCAGTGCAGTTGGCAGTCTTTGGTTACTGCTTTTTGGGGGCCCACACAGAACAAGGTTCTGGAAAAGAAAACAATTACACCACCCACCACCACCCCCCAAAAGTAAAAATATCTCACCAACAGTATGCTTTCCATAGAGAAGCTGCTCCAAAATCGCAGTCTTTCCCACCGAGGCCATTCCACAAACCACCACCTTGTAGCCCTTTCCCATCTTTCCCGGGAGGGCAGAGTCAGCAGGCGAGCCCTGTGCAGACACAGGAGTCTGTTAGCCTGGCGCGGTGGCAGAGCTCGGCACCAGACAGAAGCAAAGCCCCCGAAAGGCGCGAGAGCCAAAACGCGAAGCAGCGGGTGACTCGGAGGCACAGCTCCCTCCCAGGCGCTCACCAGCGACCGATATTTTTAGGAATAGAGTTTCCTCCCACACCATTTTTTTAAGGTTTTAGGCTGCTGCCATCGGTGCCGATGCTTGCCTGCAGCTTCCACGCTCATCCCGTTGGGATGGGGGAGACTGTTTGCGAGTGGTGAGGTGTGTAAGCCCTGCGGGGCAGGGGCCGTGCTTGGCTGGCGTGTGTGTACGCTGCACGGCTTGCGTTATCGGGCTTCGCGTTTTTGCTGCGGGCCTGATGCTATCTGGTGGTTATCAGCCTGGCTCCTGGAATCGTGACAACACGGCTGTTCCTTCCCTCTTATTTCACGCACAGAAAAGTTTCGAGCTTTTACAAACCAGGAGCTAGAAAACAGGAGCATTAAAGGCAGAAGCATGGGAAAGCAAACGCAAAAGCGGGAGTTTTGGGGGGTCTGTTTTAAATGGGTTTGGATGGACGAGGGGTTGGTTGTAGCAGGAGGCCTCCAGGAGCCAGGGGCAACTCTCTCTGGAAGCGAGCCCCGGCAGGGCGGCAGCTCCGAACCCTCAGGTCGCTGTTCAGAGCAGCTTGCGGCAAAGAGAGACGGACAAGTACCCTTTATTTTAGGACCACGAGGGGCTGGCGTCGTCCTGTTTCAATTCCAGTTTAACCGGGCAAAGGCTTCACAAGCCCGGGGAGGGTCGGGGGGTGGGG